GGAAAATGCAACTGGGAATGAAAACGTGAATGTCATTCATTCGAGCTGAATTAAAAGATAAAACGTGGTAGCTCTGCAGGATTATTCAGATGGAGCGAGGTCAAAGTTCACAGCGCAGTGGCGAGTGGGCCAGTCTGACCTCATCAGCGTCGGTTCCAGCGCCAGTGCACGCCAGACAGATACTGGAAAAGCATAGAAGGAGCAGCTGCAAAGCTGAACGGGTAAAAGTTACGGATGCCGAAATGTCGGATATTTTTCGAGCTTATCATGGGCGTCTCAATATGGTACACCAGGACAACAAGCAAGGTTACTTTTGCTGATTCGGCCAATACCAAAAAAGTTGAGGAAGAAATTCCGGCACGAGTTTTTGATTATTTTTTTTTTTGAGGAACCTCATTTACATGGGCTTTACTTCTGTTATTCAAGCGCCGAAGTCTGACAAGCGCTTCCCGGAAAAAGAGGTGCCTGGCACCTAGCTAATCCGATGCTGCGGTGTAATCAGTATTCTCGGCTGCCCAAAAAACAGTTATTATTTGCAGCCCCTGTTACTCATACATAGATTGGTGAGCTAAGTGGAATGACATTATGCAAATATATTTCAGTAGCTCGCCAGTCGTGTTGTTCATTGTTCCTTCTCTAAGTCCGTGAATGCTGCAGGCAGCAATGCTAAAACTCTCGTTCTGCTTCTAAGCTGTACAGGAACTTCAAATTTTCACACTTTTTGTTGTTATTAGCGGTGTTTCTGCTTGTTGGACACTACTTATATCGAAAAGTTGCGCTATCGTTAATGACGTGCGTGAAATACGAGGCCTTTTATTCTGAATCCAAGGATGACGAAGGAAAGGAGGGAGAAAAGTAGGGTCAGGGCTGAACTGAGTGGGAAGATGGATGTGGAGATGCGCAGTTCTGGCAACAGGAAGCCAGTTTAATGGCAAGGCGCCAAATCGGATGCGCCTACTGCTGTTCAGGGCACCGAAGGTAGCCCGGGAGCAGAAAACGAGTTGTGAAATGAATAAAAAATTTGATAAATGTCGGAAATAGTTTGTAATTGTTCAGGATGGTGTATTATCAGTGGAACATGGCGGCAGGTGTGAGAAAGCTGCTCAGCGAGCATCGAGGATGCTGCCCATCCGACGATTTTATTATTAATGGACAGGCGACCGGTGAAATACTGAAACCAGTACCACCACGCTACCGCTGTTGCAACAGAGCAGCATCACAGGCACCGGCACTTACCGCATTTTCTCCATTCGTTTCGGTTTCCCCTAACACTTGCGACTCAAACATAGTGCTTCATTCTTCCCTACGGTTCACGAGCTCATTTCAAGCGACGCTCGATAAGTGATGCTCTGAGCCAAACACTAAGAAACTTTGTATCGGCTATTACAAATGAAATTTTCGCAAGTAGTATGAACCAGTAAGGAATGGAACTCGAAATCTTTACAATTTT